ATATCGACTGATCAGCAGCTACACAGTGAGCTTCGTATCCGCGGGTCGAAGGCAGCTGCGGCATTCAGGAAGCTAGAGTACCGAGTGTGGAACAACCATCAGCTTATCATTGGCACGAAACTGATGGTGTACAAATCCATGGTGCTGTCCGTTGTGCTATACGGCAGTGAAACGTGAATGATGTACCGTCGGGATGTGCGATATCTCGAGCGGTTCCATCAGCAGTGTTTGAGACGGATTTTGCGCATCAGTTGGGGCGACAGAGTTGCTGAGACGGAAGTGTTGCGCCGAAGTGGGATGTATGCAGTGGACTGCATACTTTTATTGAGACACCTGAGATGGCTCGGTCATGTGAGCCGTATGGATTCAACGCGGATACCGAAACAACTCTTATACGGTCAGCTGAGTATTGGGAAGCGGCATGTGGGGAAACCGAAGCTTCGTTATCAGGACATGATTAAAGTGAGCCTCACGAGTTCTAATCTTGATTGAGGTCATGGGAATCGAAGGCGGTTGATCGGTGTGCATGGCGCGATCTAATCACAAAGGCGGTTGCCGCAGTGTGGGGGAAAGACCTCATACATGCAGAGAAAAAGCGGCAAGCACCGATGGGTTGTATCCCATCGACATCAAGCGCATGGTGCTGTAGCACATGCGGTCGCGAGTGCCTAGTGGGCCATGAGCGAGGCCACGCGGGACCACTACCGAAGCGACGACGGGTCCTGCAGAGAACGTAGGCAGAACCAACACAGCGTTTGTAGGCACGCTGCATTGGATTTACTAACCGCGTGCTTGCTTGTTAAAGCAATTTATTTCAGGTGGTGGGTTTGCAATTTTGTCCTAATGCTTTCTTCCTCATATAAATGTCTACCTATACTCTCTTCTAAAAACTTGCACACGTCGCTTAAGCCACTTGTAGTTAATCTCGATAACATTTTCGTGTTTGTGGTATTTCCGGAAAATATACTTTCTGACCTCGTGAACTTGTCTCGGGTTCGTTTGTGAACAACTTATTTCACATGGTCGTTAATTTAAGATTTAGGTCACTGTTTCCTTATGCATTACTCGATTTATTTTCTTTGTTAACTTTCTCTCAAGCGATTGGCTGTTGCTTGATATCCCCTGTGGAGCGGCGCTTGATGTGCATGTTGACAAGATGCCTATCTTTCTAGTACCCTGCACCTCGATTGCTGGCTCCAGGTGACAGCTGGTCGTTGCTGGAGGGGACAGGGTGCACGGTGTTGTGGCCGTGCTAGGATCAACGAGTGGTTCCATGCACTCAGTGTGGAGCGGACTACGGTCCAGCCACCGCCTTGTGTGCACTTGATTCCCAAATACAGCGTGCTTGTGTTTGCCTGTGAAGGAGTGTTGGCCGGAGCAGTTGATGAAACGTGGCTCCCATCCACATGCCTCCCGGTCTTATTCCTTCGGGTTTACACTGGATATGGGGTGTGTGGATGGAGCTGTGGGTGGTGCAGCGCAAACCACCCATGGTCCCTCTGTAGGCGCAGGCGTCCTGTGGCTTGCCACAGTGACAGGCGAAACCAAAACCGGATTCCGCCAATCATATATATATATATATATATATATATATATATATATATATCGAATTGAAGGATGCCCTTGTGCTTTCAATGTACAAGGGAAAGGGCAACAAGCAATACACCAACAATTATCGCGGCATCAACTTGCTTAATTGTGTCTGCAAAGTTTGGTGTGCATCCTAGTCAACCGCCTTGTGACACATATACTGGTACCGAACGTATCTGAGGAGTAATGTGGCTTCCGCTCGGGCCCAAGCACCACCGACATGGTGTTCGTAGAACGTAAACTACAGGAAAAATATCGTGAACGCTATGAACCACTATATGCGCTCGTCGTCGACCAAAGCGTTCGATACCGTGAACTGTGATGTGTTGTGGCTGATTTTCCCAGAGTTTGGATGCCCTGCTAGGTTTATTCGTCAGATTGAATGCCTGCATACCGGCGAATTGCATATTCGTGTAGCGAAAGCGAGTGCGGCTTTTAGGAAACTGGAACATCGAGTGTGGAAAAATCATCTCACTGTTAGAACCAAGGCGATGGTGTACCAGTCCATGGTTCTCTCGGTCCTTATATGTGGATCGGAAACATAGATGCTGCATGGAAATGGTATCGGGTTTCTGGAACGATTCCATCAACAGTGCCTGCGCCGAATTCTGCACATCCACTGGTGGGACAGTGCGCATGACACCGGAGCGACGTATGCACAATGGACTGCCTGCCACTGCTGCGACACTTCCGGTGACTTGAACATGTGCGCCGTATGGATGCGACGAGAATTCTGAAACGACTGCTGTATGAGCGACTGAGTGTGGGCGGCCGGAATGCAGGCAAACCAAAGTTGTGCTACCACGGTGTGTTCCAAGTGATTACTGTCATAAGGGGTTGGGAGGTGGCAACGCATCGCCGGACCAGGCGTGATCTCATCACGCGTATCGTTGCCCAAGCGCAGGAACGACAGCTAGTGCATCGGGAACATAAAGGTGCAGCACGCAAGCTGACGCTTGCGTATGCGGCTGTGTGTGCCTTAGCCCAGCCAGTCTAGCCAGTCACCAGCCAGCCCACGATGGGGCTATGCCGAACAGGCCAAATGTGAGACCGAGCAAGACGGATGGACATGTAGCACATGGTGGGACAGATGAAGAGAGATACCTTAACTCACCTATTAGAATGTGTGGATGGTGCACATAAAATCGGCAAACATTATGGACAAAGGTGAGTCAAAACGGAATACACATTCTCGCAACTTCGGAGGCGAGGACTTTTGCGCTGACACTCCACTAGGTTACCGAGTGCCGCAGCACAGCGACAAAATAAAATAAAAAAATAATTAATGTGTCAGCTGTACGCCGTAACTGCGCTTCACTTCCGAGCGACCACCACCAGTCGCGCGTGTAGACGCCCACCCCTACGCGGCTTCGAACCGGTGGCTTTATGATTGCAAACCAGGGGTGTAGACTACTCGGCCACTGACCGACAACCACCCATAGTTTCTGCACAGACACAGGCACTCTGCATCTGCCCTAGTGTGAGCACGAACAGTTTCCCACCTACGAGTGCTCCATGTTGAGGTTTGATGTTGCACACACCATGATTCATCTCAGTTGGGCTACACCGAATTACTTTATCTTACCATACTTACCATTACCCAAAGTTTGCTAAGATGTAACCGGACTGTGTCACCGGTCAAGCCAATATTGGTGAGTCAAGCCAGTGAACCAGTAATATAGCCCTGATCATACACCTGCTAGAATTGTGACCCGCTGCATCAATTCTACCGATCCTATCCACGTTTGTATTGCGGCACAATAGCTGAGGGGCTTTCCACCTGCAGCTAACGTGTATAATGATGCGTAATGATGACATTCTATCCACCTACGGAAAGTAGTTCAGGCCACTTGCAACACTCAACATTGCTTCCTCGTGTTGAAGTAAAGAAGGAAGCGTAATAAACAACCACTATCTTTCAAGCCAAAGTATTCAACAATGCCTCGCCACTTTGGATGGCCGCGTTGGACCACGCATCTCAAGAGAAATCGCTCCGGAACATCCGTGGAAAGTGAACAGTCCAGGCAAGTAACTGACTAGCGAATAGCATGATGATATTGACGCCTCATATTCTGTTTTATTTGTTAATCATATGAGTGAGCATGGCTATATTTCCCGTGGTTCGTCCGACGAATTGAACTTAGCAGAGCTTATAAAAATTAGTAGTCCTGTTTGCATCACTCTGCTTAAGTACACCAATTCGCTTGCTAACCAAAATAAAGTTGCTTACTCTATTCAGTTGGTCATTGGTGCCCCGATCTTGGCGATCTGGATGCATACGTTTCGCCACAATGCGAGGTGGCATCGTCAGCGCGGTGATATGCAGTGTGCAATCTTGTGTCACTAATGTTAATTGCTTGAGCACAGCTTTACTCTAATATGACTAATTACCGACTTAGTGTCATACCATATCTTTACTGCATCCGTTTAATACCTAAGCATCACATCGAATTCACCTCTTATTGGTCATAATTAGTACTGCCGTATTTCACGAATGCTCCACCTTCGCTCACCACAGTTCTGTTCGCTTCGTGACTATGTCACCTTTGCTACCTTCATAAGTGTATTCCAGTGTGATGATATGCCGAGACAATGAGCTATGGCATCCTCTTCGTATTCGTTTGTGATTTACATCATTACGTAAGCTCCATGGCTTGCTCACCAGACTATCCATACAAGACTGCCTCTATCTCTTTTGCGTGAAATGGTTTTGTAGATTACATGGCCCTAACTCGACCTGCTGCCCAATATTAGCACGACCCTTAGAGTAACGGAGCATCGCAGGCTGAAGGTTCAGTCCATTCATGATCTCTCCGCATTAGGCATACGTGCAAGTCTATCAGTTGGAGCCATTTCGCTGTGTTGTTCGAGCGAATTAAGTCTGTTAATACGGATCTGCACTATGCTTGCAAATTATTGAGCATGCTTACAAAACGAAGATTGATGATGTACTAAGTCAAGATAGATAAAATAGAAAGCAGAAAAGCTAGTTTCGAGATAATACCCTTAGAAAGGACGAAGGCAAGAAGAAGCAGGCAAAACGGATGTTAGGACAGAAGGTATGCTTAGGTGGTACCTCAAACCGCTAATGACACTAGTATACCAAATGAACGCCAGACACCGAGCGTTCGACGGTCACCAATTCTTTTTACGACTGACCGCTAATATCATGTAAATGATTGATGATATGCATCAATCAATAAATCTGGCGTGTCGAGAACACAAAAATATTCACGTGTGTGTGTGTGTGTGGCTGCTAACAACGCGTTTCGGTCAATCTGACACTTCGACTGTTTCACTTAGGATTGATTTTAGGCTGGAAAGGAAACAGTGAACAGTAACGTTTGGCTGCAAAGACAAGCGAAAAATGGTAACTTGAGTTACGAAAATTGTCATTGTTTGTGACTCACATGCAAAGAATGATCCATTACACTTTGAAGTAAAGTGACACGCAAAATCTGCGCGATGTCCGATGCAGAGGGAAAACATTCCGAACATTTCAGCAGTTTATCGCGCGACAATTCAACGACCAGCGTGCTGAGCACTGGGTTGCTCGCGAATGAGCTCCAGACATTGGTGCCTGTGAGTGAACCGGTTAGGCAAACGATCCATTTCATGAACAGGCGCTAAATGTAGAAAATACAAAAAGCATCTGACAAATACAAAATGCATCTGCAAGGTGACCGTTTTGACCAAACAAGGGTTATGTCGCCGTAAACAGCAAAAGAGATGTACCAATAGTTGGCGAAGATTAAGTTCTGCGCCTGTCTAAGTAGTCGGTACCAGGACTAGAGGCCAGATGATGACGGGTAGAGCACTGCAACCTGGACACAAATGGTCTCGGCAAGGTGGCTGTCTTGACTTGGTAATGGACTTGCGGTGAAGCTTAATTCTCGCTCGGGACACTCTTGAAACTTGTCACCCAAACTAAAGACCTGGAATTAAGAAGCTAGAAAAATTGAGAAAGAACTGTTAGATACAAAAAGGCGGAGGCATTAGCACACTCGCGGTAAACCGTACCGACGCTTCGCTGCCGCGCAACCACCACCGGTGGCGCGTGGGCTGGGCATACTGAGAGCATGTCAATAACTACGCGGATTCGGACCGGTGATCTCCGGATTACAAGGAATGCGTCTTATCGTTTCCGTCATCAGTTAGCCACAGTGGGTGTATAGCTCAGTGCTTGTGGATTCCATTAGAAGCAGTAGGCCACAGTGCTGTGATTCGAAATAAGATGTTAAAGAGAAAACGAGGATGTGGTTTGTGCGCCGTTATCAGCCTTCACACAAAGGTGTGACGAAACAGAGCGGTAGAAAAAAGTCAGTCACATAAGGAGTGTGACCAAATAGACGAGATGAAGTGAATCACATTGATTACAATATTGTCTCAACGAAACCCCAATGCAATGAGCTTAATTGTCAGCCGCAATGAAATGTCAAAGAAACAACGAGAACAAACCTCCATCCATTTCGGACCGCCCATGTCCTTAATAGCCAGGATAAGGACAAAACCTTCTTTCAGGGTCAAAGCAGGAGGCAGGAACTCTGTCGAATTCCTTGGAGAATCCAGTGGACTCATGTATTGGAGCAATGCATTAACGAAATCCCCGGCACAGGCGAGAACTAACTGGGCGGTGGACAGAGTATCGGTGACAGAGGTATCCTCCTTGTTTCTACCAGTAAGGCGTGCTAGAACAAAGAAAAAGTATTCAAATTAGAATTCAGAAAGAATTGAATTCTTACAGAATAGTTGGATGCTACGACATAGAGCGGGACAGTTATGATCACGGAGAGCAAAGCGTGAATGATCTACTGGGTAAAATTGACAAGGAAAAACAAATTAAAGCAGTTCGCATAAAGTTAGTTGGAAGCGTCATGCAGAAAACAATCGGATAGTGTGATTGTTCATACATAGCTGGAAAATAAATTTACATCAGAACCATAACACTAAGGAGCATGAGATCAATATTAATCGGCATATCCAAATTCATAAGGCGAGGTTGTTGCATCCAACATGAGATTTGAGACCGAAGAATGGGAGGGAATTCACGGAAGTTGCAAGCGACGAAGATGGTAGGATAAGTTAGGCAATCATTTGCACAAGCATGACAAGTGAGGCTCAGTCAAAGAAGACGGGGAAATTTGAATCTTTTAAGCAGCAGTAGAGGCCACAATAGAAGCCCATGGTCATAAGTAAGGGTACAAATATGTAGCTATGGGGCATGGACCACTATTTGTCCATATGACGAATCATTAAAAAAAGAACTATAAACCCCAAGATCACAAGATTGCAGGTTGTCATTAGTGAACGATTTCCCATGGCAAAGTGAAACATAAAGTTAAGGCGGATAATGGTGCGAAACAACAAAACCGCTATAAAACAGTGTCTAGTACATCGAAGTACGGAAGTTAAAATACAAAAATTCATATATACCTCTACACAAATTAACAAGGGCTAATAACAGAGGTCCCACATCGACATGAATGGCGTGTCTTGGTCCATTTAGTAGGTCCTGCGATAGAAAATGTAACTGTAGGACGACTAATCATACATGGGTTTGTAAACAAAGCCTAGAACAACAAAAGCAACACCTACTGAGACGGTGTGATGTAATTTAATACGGTACAGCGAAAACAAAGCTATTCCAGGAATCACCTGTGCTTCTATCGTCCGTGAAGTCGCTGCGTACCACATGGATCCCATAGTGTATGGTTGTAACTTGTTAAAGCGTGACACATTTCCCGGAAGTCGAATCACATCCATATCCCATCCTTCTTCCTCTTCAACCCAAGCGAACTATTCTCTAGGGTTCTATACAGACAGAGTCGAACTGGCAATGGAATAACTGTAGGTGCGAACGCACTCCGGTGACGACGGAAAATGATCGTCCCATGAATACTCTCATCGATATCTCTATAAAAAGCACCGTATACGTATAAAACGTGATAGTCGTGCTCTCTCGACCAGCATCGTCCAGGCGACCGTGGTTGGTGAGAAATTGGAACAAGATATTTAACCCGTCACTGACGGCAGTCCTAGGTGTGTCGTCTAATGCGGTATGAACACACACGCAGGCGACCTCAAACGGCTTGTGAAGCATGTGCGACCAGATTCGTAAGAACGCACAAAGAAAGATGAAGCAGAAACTAAGTGCCGCGTCGACAACGCAGTATGGAAGATGTTTTGGGCTACGGACTAGAGGCAGAAACCCTAGATTAAGGCACAGCTCTTCGAATATGTAACCAAGAAGTGTCACGTACCAGCAGAATACCCGTACCGATTTCCTCTGTTCTTCAATCATTCCACAACACCGTAACAAAAGACAGTTAACATGGGGGTGTGAATCACTTAGCAATCAAACTGGGTCGTGTCTCAAATTGCACTCGCTTCTACGGTAAGTTCTTCAGGGGCGCACATCCCGTATATTGCCGAATATAAGCTGAGGAATTTTGGGCAATTTCTTGTTTCTGAAGAGGGGGAGTCGGCCTACATAAAGGCCAAACGCGAGTTGAAAACAGTCAAATGCAAAACCTACCAAGGAATTCATTGCATACCTCTGCTCTTATCTCCTATTATCATCACCCGCTAGTGATGAACGGTATTCCAGACGGGGATTTGAAGTGCATATAACTGAACACACTACTTTTGTGTCGCACATTCGAGGTTGGTGACGAATGGCAGTAGCGAATCAAAAGCCTTTATGTTATGCCAGGCGATCCATGCTGAAAAATGCAACGTTATCCCACACCCCTGACCGGGAACTTCGCTCTCACCCACTACTGTGGTTGATATGTAAGGCCCCCGACTATGCGAGGCGGCCTGTCTGACACGCATTCGCCTTACCGGGCTGTCTTACCTGTATCAAATGACTTGACGTCTGCTCAATACACTATCCGGTGCGGTGAATCTGTTTTAACGGCCCTACGCTTCATTAACCGCGATTATAACATTACGGTCACCAGAGCTGACAAACAGTAGAGCAGGTTTCACTTGAACTCACTCAAGTGAGAGCAAATAGTGCTGACGTCGAAATCGTTAAGAAATAATTTCGTTTCTCTTTTGCTGATTGTTTAGAAGTCAGGGCTAACACATAGACTTACGATTTTGGACAAATTTGATGTTACAGAAGTGTAGATGTTGCGAAGTCATACTGTCGACTTATCTGTGGACGGGCTGATATTCGGCAATATACGGTAGAGTTGTATGAGAAAAAGCCGATGCCATCACTTTGGATTTCATATGTGTACCTGTTAGCAAAAAAAGACGAAACAATAGCACAGTGGCCGGCTGAAACCGCCATCGGCTCAAAGTGGTCATGTTTCCGCTACATCGAGTGATGGTGCTCCAGTTTGACATTGGCCGTTTAGCTGGAAGTGAGAGGACTCTGTCGTAACGAGAAGCGTGAACTGGCACTGTACCATTCACTCCTAGACTGTAAGTACCCAAACGTGAATATGCATAGACTATCATCTACCGCTGAGCACTCGGATGAATGAGCCTATAAGTAATATAGACAGGGCTTGCGCGATAGTCGTCGAATATTAGATTGTTAAGAACGTTATTGTGGTTTTTGATATGCTAAATTTGACCGCTGATTTCTTAAACAAATTGTGTTAAGCTATCGTGACCCTATATATCGTTTTACAGTGCATTTTTTGCAACAGTTTGGCCCATAAATATTTTTACAATTTTATAGTACACTCACGAGGGCAGAGGACAAACTGGTACCATTTTTTTGCCTCAACTTGGCCGAAATACAGTGGAAAGAGCTCGTGCATTTGGTCTTGGGACCACTAATGACCGAACTGCACAATGTTGGTTTCAAAAAGTTTGTAACGTTTACGAAAGGCTTAAAATTAAAAGCACTGTGGACAGCCATCGAAGATGAACAACGATCACTTAAGGGCCTTGGCTGTACCGGATCCGCTGTGTCGCATGTGACTATACAAGAGAGCTTGATAAGTGAATGCCGAAAGATCTGAACAAAAATGGATCAAAAGATGATCTTGAAGTGTTGTCTGCCCTTGGTTTTGCGCAGTCAAAGTGGCACGTTTCTCAACAGGCGATGAAAAGAATGGACTTTGCAATCATCGACAATACACAGCTCAATAGTTAGACCACGATTAAGCTGCACAACACATCCGAAGACAGAAATTGCAGCCAAGAAGCCTTATGGTGACTGTTTGTTGATCTGTGGATAGTTTGGTCCAGTACAGCCTTCTGAATTTAAGCGAAACCATTACAGAGTAGAAGATGCACAGAAAAATTTAACATATGCATCCTGCAGTCGTCAATAGAAATGAGCTGATTCTACGCCACGATACCGTTAGGCCAACCCTCGCACAACCAACGCTGTGGAAGCTGCACCAGCTAGGCTATGAAACTTTGCCTCTCACCATACTCCCCTGAACAGTCGCAATGAGACTGAACCGTAACGTGCTGCGACGGTCAGCGAACCTCTTGTACTCGTTGAGCTATACTGGGTGGTGCCCTCGAGCTACTGCTACCAGGTGGGTCACCGGTTATTGGTCAGGCAAACAGTCTCTTGGTGCTCCAGGCTAAGGGTCTGAAATGGGCTGGCGCCCATTGCTATAAAAGCAAGTAATCGCAGCCTCCCAACTGCCTTAGGAATAGGCTTTGGTTGTGCACCCTAATCATTCTCGTGTACGGGTATGGGCGTCATGTCAGTAGCTCAGCCCACGCATAACCATAACAATTTCATCAAACTTCAACCACATCCTGCAGCGAAAGTAGTGAAGTTTGAAAAGAGCGCCCTATCCGTTGCATACAGTAGGGCGGACGAGCGACATTATGCCACTACTGCCACCTCCCTTCTTTTTTTCCTTCCATTTCTCTCACTCCCCTTCCCCTACTCCTATTACTAATTTTCCATAATTCCCAGCTTAAGGGACAACAGCCGCAATGCAAATGAAGCCATATCATGTGCAGTTACATTACCACACCACACACCGGACACCTATCGCCAACAATCTCGCTGTGCCGTTTCGCTAGATGTGTTCAATATTGCACGCTAAGACAAATAGGTCAACAGCCTGCACTCGCATGCACGTTAGTCACACTGGGTATTCACGTGTGTTGCGTATCCGAAACTAGGATCAATGACCCTCACGGGGTTGTTGAACTAATGAGCCCGGCTTGTACTCTCGGTATTGGTTGCACGTACACACCGATGCGGCAATCACTGTTCAAACTGGTGTGGGCATCGTTCTCAGCTCCAAAGCGAAGTCATCGCTGGTTGCTTAGATTCCCATGAGAAGCCGTTTGTGTGCAGACCGTTTGAGGACATCATCTAGGGTTGTTTCATGGAGTAGCGCTATCATCATCATCATCATCATACACGTTAGCTGGAGATGGGGAATACCTCAGCTACTGTGCCGCAATACACAGTAAAAAGAAAAGAAAAAAAGCAACTGGTGCAAGTCGGCTGAGCTACCGGTAACGGATGGGCATCGTTCCGGTAGGCTAACAGCCGGCTACTATGCGCTAGAGGCTGTTTGTTTGTGATTTCCGCTTATGCCCCCACCGACTGCAGTTCCGTTGATGCCAAGGACACATCCCTACCACGAACTGAACACACTACTTTTCAGAATAACCCATGGAAATTACCGACACAATGAGAACGATTATACGATACGAGATATTACCTCGACTAGATGCGACAACTAACT